GATCTGGGTTAAGACAGCCCCTCTAGGAAGCTGTGCTCAATCCACCTCTCTACCCCCAGCCTCCAGTGGGCCTGGTCTCCCCTTATCTATGCATCAAAGTTGGCCCATTCATCGAAAAGGGAAGGGAATAGAGCCAAGGCGCTTCTGGCCCAGGTGCCTCTGATTTCCACGCCTTCACCTTGCAGCGATTGCCAAAGGTGCTCAGTTTTGGTAAGAATTCCCTGGAAGGCAGACGTCCAATCTCCCTCAGAAAAGGCCCCCTGGTCCAGTACCCACCCCCACGCCCTCTCATGCTTCACTACTGCAAGGGCCTCCCAGAGGCCGGGCTGGACCAGGCTCAGGGCACCAGGGGTTGGGGAAACAGGAGTAGAAGCTCAGGGGCCTTCTAGACTTCCAGCTTTTGGCCTGGAGCCTGGTGTGGCGTGAGGCTGCCCAGGCAGGATCACAGTTGTGTTCTGGCCTGGACTGGCCTGACCTGGGCTACATGTAACCTTTAGGTTCTTTTTACCAAATGGCCAGAGGTTTTAAGGATGATGGCTAAGACAACCTTTGAATCTTTGGAAAAGAATCTCACAATGGGAATTCCTGAGGCTAGAAGCCTGGGAATTAGGGACACAGCAGGAAGTCACTTTCTTGAGCATCTCTAGCCAAGTGAGCTGGGTAGGGGACTGTCTCTAAAATGTGGGTGCCTGGTTACCAGGGTTTCAAGATAAGCTGGGCTTTATTGCCAAGGAATTGAGGTACAGCTGAGTAGCTGCCTTAGGGATATGGTCTGCTTCCTGTATATAAGGAGAAGCCTTGGGAAATGGTCTCTAGCTTATGGCACGCTTGGACCCTGCATGTAGCTGTGTCATTGTTCAGCAGCCTGCCATGCTCTGCCGACCTGGGGACTTTCAGTGGACTTGAATTAATGGCCTACTGTGTGGTTTGGTAACATCAGGACTGTGCCATTTTATTCGTCAACCTTGGGCTTGTCAGCCTCAGCAGCCAGTAGCTGCCTGAGTGAAGAGATGCCTCTAGCTCCAGTGGGCCGGGAGCAGGCAGAGCTGAAGCCCAAGGTTGAGGGGCTTTCACCCAGCCCCTAGAGCCTGGCACTTTGAACTTGGACTTAAAGCCTCCAAATTGTAAGAATAAACTCCTGTTTGTTAAGGCCATCCCATTTGTGGTATATTCTTGTCAGAGCGGCACTAGGGGACTGGAACACTCAGGGTCTCCCCTGCCTCCCCATCTGCCCAATAGGGATCGTTCTAGCATCTGGTTCCAAAGGACATCGTCCGGTGTAGGTAAGAATACCTATAAAACCTGTGAGCTGGTGTCACACGCAGCCAGTGCACACACCTGGGGATGGTGAGCGGCGTGGTGTACACGTTGAAGCAGACCAGGGTTCTAGTGATGCCATCTTGGCCCGGTCACTTGCCCTGTTGGCCTCCTTTCCCGGTCTGTACCAGGAGGGGGTTGAAATGAAATGAAAATCAAATGCCATTACCCTGCTGCATAAAGCCCTCTGGTGGTTTCCGTTATATTTAGAATCAGACCCAAGTGCCTCGTCCATGCCTGTGGGGTGGGCAGCCTGTGCAAGGGCCCCCAGTGCTCCCTGACCTCGGCTATCTACGTCCTTATGTGATCCCCTAGAGTGTGGCTGGACTTCACCACTCACTGTAAC